CAGTGCCCCATACCTGCCGCAAGACGACCGCCCAAGCCTCTTCTTCCATCTCCCTGTTACAAAAATCAATGCCGTGTACACGTCCACTGATAGGAGACGCGGAAGGTATTAAACTGATCAGAAAAATACTAAACACACCACTCCTATCTGGTGGCACATTAGCTTGACCGTGCAGTGCCCCAAATTTGAATTAAGAGGACCGACCAAGCATCTTCTTCCATCTCCCTGTTACAGAAATCACTGCCATATCCATACAAATTGTACAGAATGTCCAGGATAGTTTTCCAGGGACAAATGTTGTCGCCTGTTGAACGAGGTGACCTTGCTCGGGTCCCAGGTGTACGGTTCCTAAAATGGCTGCCATATATACGTCCACTGATAGGAGACGCGGAAGGTATTAAACTGATCAGAACAATACTAAACACACCACAAATAAGGTTTCTCTCCTGTATGGCTCCTCAAATGATGCTTAAGATTAGAAGCGGCTGAAAAGCATTTCTCACACTCCGAACAAAAATATATTTTTTTAACATTCTCTCCACTTTGAACGAAATGACGTTTGGGAAGAGATTAACATAATTAAACACAGGCAGTAAAATACAGTTTTTAGCCATACCCTGTAACTTTAAAACTACACATCCCATCTTCATAATTACATATTTGGAATCAGCACACTTAAAACATAAACATAACCAAAAATCAGCCAAATCCATCCAGGGGTTAAAAAGTTAGCTGGAGGTCCCTTTATGACCGACCGCAAGCACATTTTCCTGCCCAAAACAGTTCCATAGATTTGGGCTGTGAGGTCGGTCTATTTCAGGCTGAAAAAACGACTAAGTCCCATCGCCGAATGGGACTTAGTCTCTGCAGCTGAAATAAGGCTGAAAAAAACGGCTGAAAAAAAGACTAAGTCCCATCGCCGAATGGGACTTAGTCTCTGCAGCTGAAATAATTTCCCATTTACTGAACCAAGTGGGAAATAGCAAGGCAGGCACAAAGGGTTTGCACCAGGTCTGGGGACACAGGGGACACCGTCTTAAAGGGGCCGTGTCCCCAACAAGTCTGGGGACACAGCCTTAAAGGGGCAGTGTCCCAATCTTCCTGATGTCCCAAAAAAGGTGTTTAAAGGGCCAGCACCAGTCACATAAAGAGTCCAAGAGCCCCAATATGCCCACTGACAGTCTTAAAGTGCCATACACACCAAATAAAAGTGCATACATTTTCACAATCTCCCAGGGGCCATAGTCATGCGGGAGGAGGCTGGCAAGTAGGCTTCTCCACAACCCAGGGAAGCAGGGCAATTTGCCATTTAAAGGGCCCGTTACAAATAGCATTTTGTAACAAGGTGTCAATCCATATCTGCCAAGTGACCCGATGTAGGGGGACCAGTCCCTATTCTGCTCTGTGTCAGTGTGTACCAGGGAACCTTAGGACAGGTGTCAATCCATATCTGCCAAGTGACCCGATGTAGGGGGAACAGTCCCTATTCTGCTCTGTGTCAGTGTGTATCAGGGATCCTTAGGACAGGTGTCAATCCATATCTGCCAAGTGACCCTATGTAGGGGACCAGTCTCTATTCTGCTCTGTGTCCGTGTGCATCAGGGGCTCTGAGGACAGGTGTCAATCCATATGTCAAGGTGTCAATATGTCATATGTCAGGTGTCAATCCATATTGATTGTGATTTAGGAATGTTAGGTGATTTCTGCCCTTTATGGATTAAAACCAGACTCTGTATCAACTGTGTAATTTTCCATGGGAGTTTTGCCATGGATCCCCCTCCGGCATGCCACAGTCCAGGTGTTAGTCCCCTTGAAACAACTTTTCCATCCCTATTGTGGCCAGAAAGAGTCCCTGTGTGTTTTAAAATTCGCCTCCCCATTGAAGTCAATGGCGTTTCGGGCGGTTCGCCGGTTCACGAACATTTGCGGAAGTTCGCGTTCGCCGTTCGCGAACCGAAAATTTCGGGTTCGCGACATCACTAGACACCAATAGATGGGAAAGAGTGGAAGATAGAAGACACAGGAGGAAAAAAAAGTAAAAGAAGACAGGGGAAAGAAACAAAGAGAAGAGGAACACAACACTCTAATGTATCCTAATCTTTTCTTGTCTATCATGTCCTTTTCCCTTCTCTCTGTGCTCTTCCCTCTGTATTATCTTGCTGTGAGATTAGGAAATAAAGATGATGCCTCAGCTTACTGGAAAAACTGAGGAACGATGGTTAACATTGACTGTTTCCAATGAGTTCATGCACTGAGGACAGAAAGACGGGAACGTCGAAAGTATGTATTCATACTTGTGGGACTGGCAATATAACTACTTAAATGTAAGGGGTTTTATGTTTGTTGAAATCAATTTTATTACATTATTCTAATCAGTGGTGCCTTCTTTCCTGATTCTGGAGGGTCTGCTAGAGTATAACCTACATTGGATCCAATGTTTACATCCATGCTGAACTACTTGAGCCAGCATATAAGAGCTCAGAAAGATGTGAGTTTGATACCACCTATTAATTAATCTACAATATGTACAACTTGTATTGCATTATGATGGCTATGTTTCTCCTTTTCAGTCATGTTTAAAAATTATTCCATATGGTATATGTATTTTTAAAGTATTACATACCCCCCTATTATTACACAAAGTGCGCTGTTCACTTATTGTGTACTGTTTTGTATCATTGGGTGAAATGTATTGTTTGATTTCACAGTGTTGTTAGCTGCATTTTGTCTACTTTGAATTTGGGACATTTTCACACTCACTGCATTATATATGCATGTGTCGCCTATAATTGTGGGAGTGGTTACCCAGCTACAAAAACTCAGGCCCCCTCCATGACAGGACCGACACCGCTGGGTTCATTCAGAACCTCTGACTTTCGGTTTCTAGTCCACTCACCAGGACTTTGCTCCCACGCTGATCAGGCCAAGTTCTTCATGATTTAGCACACGATACCCGGCCATATGCAGCATACTAGCCCGGCTACCCATCTTAC